TCACGGCGGCCTCGGACGCCATGGCAAAGGCGGCGATCGCGGCGTTGCCCTCCTCGGCATCGGCAGCGGCGGCACTCGTGTCGATCGAGGCGCTCTCGCACAGCGCGTCGGTGAAGGCCTCAGCCTGATCGTCGGCCATGCTCTCTGAGCCAGGGTCCCTCGGGCGCCTACAGCTTACTTCCTCCACACCCCAGTGCCCAAATCCACACTTTTGAGAAAAACTCTCCGGAAATCGAACCATGGGGCGCTCCTATGGCTTAGGGGCCCCACCAACCCGTGGGGGTCCGGCGAAATAAAACTTCGCCGTGGTCGAGTTAGTGAGGTAAGCCGTTGACGCCATACCCGCAGCTTGGCTCCCAGCGTGACAAACGACGGCAGCCTCCAGACTTCCTCCGGCCAAAATTTTCTTCGGGGCGGCTGCGCCGCCCTGCAGACACCCCGTTGGCGGCACCGAGCGCGAGTTTCCGAGACGCGCTCGTGACTGGTAACAGACACGGATCGGTCGCCGGGGCTCAGCCAATCGCCTCCAGCAAATGCTTCATCACACGGACGAGACGCGTTCGTTGCTGCGAGGCGGCCACCGAGCCTTCCTGCAAAGAGTTCGGATACGCCAGCCTGTTGTCGGCGTGATCGCCACTGGGCTTAGCTGAGGGTCAGGGAGCCGGTGGTATAGCAGCCACTGCGCAGCACGCGAGCAACCGTACCCGGATGCGTGCGCCTTGTCCGCTCGGTCGGCGCGGCCTCCGTCCGTGGCAGGCTGCCGTGTCCGTGCCGTGGGGTGTCTGTGTGAGAGACTGTGCGTTGTTTGAGGAGAGGATAGCTTGGTATTGCCTTCATATGTCGCAAAGACTCCAGATACAACTCTACGTGGCCACTATTTCTCGCATCCCAAAGATTCCAACCAGTAGGCTCACCGTCCCCCTGGTCCCGGTGAGCCGGCCGTCAACACCGTCGCGGCCGGCGCGGCCGCCGCTCACCTGTCCTGTATCCTCCTGTGTAACCCCTTGTGGTGCTGGGCAGGCCGAACATGCACAAGAAAATCCCGTGGAAAACGGTTAAAATGGCACCGATTTACGATTTTCCGCGCGCTGCGCGCGCCGAGCACGGCCACGGCGCCAAAAAAGTGCTTGCCGGAGTCCGTTTTCAGTGGACGGACACCCAAAACGACATTTGCATCGGCCGGGCGGACAAATTTAGTGCCTGGGAGCCCCTTTTAGAGCCTTCTAAGCCCTTCCTGCTACTTTTTGAGCTCGGGCGCGCGCGATTTCTTTTTCGCCCTGGCCGCGCCCCGACGTTAGTCGTTAGTCCTCGATCCCAAGAGCGACATGGAATGCATCAACCTCATCACCCCGCCCTCATCACCGCGCAAGCGCAAGGCGTCGGCGCCGCCCGACAGCGACTCGAGTGATTGCGAGCTGCTCGACGGGCCGGCACGCGATGCAGGCACCTCCCAGCCGCAGCCGAGCGACGCGGGCACGTCACATCTGGACAGCGACTCCGACGAGTGCGAGGTTGTCCAGCCCGCGCCGGCGCCGCCCGCAGCAGAGGCGGCAGCGGGCACCGCCGAGGACGAGGATCTCTCCATCGTTGGCACCACGGGCGCCTTCGCGCTGAGCGATTTCCCGCACTCTCGCGAGAACTGCGCAACCAAGCCCTTCGTCTTGGGGAGCGGCACCGAGGCGATGCACTGCAGCAACTGCTACTGCTTCGTCTGTGATGCCCCGGCCAGCACGTGCGGCTCGTGGGCGGTGCACTGCAAGGCGGTTCACTCGGACCCGGCGTGGCGAGCGCGCCGTGCGCAGCGCGCAGCCGCCGCCGTGGCGGCGGCGAGTGCCCCGCCGGCACCCGGCGCCGCTTCCTCCTCCGCTGCCGCTTCCTCCTCCGCCGCCGCTTCCTCCTCCGCTGCCGCTTCCTCATCCCCCTGGCTTGCCCTGCAAGCGCCGGCGGCGGGCTGGTCGTGCGAGCGCGTCATGCAGGAGGTGCAGCAGGTCTGGCCGGTCGAGGCGGCCGAGCCAGCAGGGCTGCTCTCCTCCGTGCGGCTAAAGCCTTACCAGAAGCAGTGCCTCGCCTTCATGCTCGGCGTCGAGCGGTCGAGCGACCCGAACCTCGAGGGCGTGCGCAAGGCATCTATGGCAGAAACCATCGCCGGCCGCACCGACAACTTTCGTGTGCGCGGCGGCTGGCTCACGTCGGAGGTGGGGATGGGCAAGACGATGGTGTCAATCTCGCTGATCCTCGCAAACC